ACTAGGCTTTTTTCTAATCTTCTAGGAGTTTTCCAGAGTTCTGACTCCAATACTAACTCTCAGACCACCTACATTCTAACAGCAAGAGACATCCAACAGCTCATGACTTCTCACTGAGTTCCCAACTGCATACGCTCAGTGCAGTTTAGTTGCCTTTCAGCAGTGTAGCTTAATAGGTTTTTTAAACATGGAACTTGCTTCTCTGTCTCCTGGGACTTCCCTGGGCATCAGCTTTGTAGCACGGCAAACAGCCACCTTCTCAAAACAGTTTGTTTCCATCAATCTGTCTCTAAATAACTGTGACCTCAGAAATGTTTCTCAGTGATCCCTCAACTGTTTTGAGTTTCACTACCTACTGAAAATCTTGCAACAAATCACAGTCCATTGCTCGGTAGAATTGCATACAATTAATTTTGCAGCAGTCAAATATAGCAAATTACTTAGAACTCCCTGTACACCTAAATGTTACTAAATATTACAATGTTGCAATTCTCATAGAATGCTGGCTTTAAGCATAAACTGCATAAAACAAAAAAAAGTTACAATTTCCTCAACACAGAAGATTGTGGGATGGTAAAATCAGTTTCAAAAATATGGAAAGGACTTTGTTAGGTACATCTTGAGAAACTATTTTATCAGGGGAGAGAAGATTATTAAACAATGAGTCTTAGGCCAAATACAGACAAAACAAAAATCAGTAAGTTTTTTTCCAACATAAAGCAGAGCAAAGAAATTGGAATTCTCTCCCCTGCATCAAAAGGCTTTGAAGGCCAAAGGAATTAGAGATTTTCTCTTTTGACCTTGATGGGAATGTGTCATCATACATACAAGAAGAAGTACAGAAATGCAGTTTGTTATCAGCAATGTTTCTCACAATCACCATCTCTTTAACATTTCTCCCATTTGAGTATTGTCTCCTACTACTTTTCTTTCATGGACACAGCTTTCCTCCCAACTCAAAAACAAATCAAGAATAGCCATGCAGCCCTTCATATTTTGAATTTACCCACATTTGCAATCATACCATCAAATGTATGTAAGTATTTGCACTCTTAATAAATTACTCCCTAAATTGCCATTTTAATTTCCATACAGTTAAATCAAAAGTTGGTAATGAGATTAAATTTTAAATCAGCAAAGTATTATTTTTAAAAGGGGGCTGATTACTGACGTGAATAATTCTATAATGTGAATCAACTTAAGCTTCATCAAGGCCTATCTCTATATCCTTTCTCAATGCCCCACTCTGACTTAATTCATAAATGGAAACAAAAAAAAGTGTTCAAAATATATAGCAAGGCAGTAAGCATCATTAAGGAGACAAACAAAGTTAACATTTCAGATTGATAACCTTACATAAGAACAGAGTAAGTTAGAAACGTGGAAAATAAACAAAATTGCTGGAAAAGCTCAGCAGGTCTGGCAGCATCTGTGACGGAAAAAACAGAGTTATTGTTTCGGGTCCGGTGACCCTTCCTCAGTTCCTGATTTACAGCATCCGCAATTCTTTCGGTAA